AAGATACTCCCCAGCAGACAGCTCTGCACATAATTAATTCAGTGCTTTAGAACAGTTGCACATGACCTCCCCAAACACCTTCAGTCTGTGTGTCAGAGCTGCTGCATTCACAGCTTGCCCAGAACAGGGCTGGGAGAAGCGTGTGGGAAGCCGAGGTCACCAGGAGGTCCAGCTTGTTCTTTCTGTCTGTGTGGATGGGCACATCCACCAAAAGGCCAATTTAAATACCTGCAGCATCAGCAGGGCCATCCTCTATTCAAGATGATGTCAGAGGAGCCCAAGTGCTCTTGGCTTACAGCCCAGCTAGGAACAGTTTGAACACATGGCAGTGATGGACCAGGTGTCCTCCTGCACTACCTGGTCCTGCTGGCACACACTCGCTGCTCAAACCACCTCACAATGCATGCATTCATCAAATTCAGCCCAGACCACCCCGATCAGCCAGTTTTTAAATGTAATTAATTCAGTTCTGATCACCTGGTGGCTAAAAGCCATTGCATTATCCCATAGCAACGCAAACCACCATGGGAAGAAGAGGCTTATCCAGCTCAGTGCTGGAGATCTTGTCTCTGAAGGGGACGTCTCTCACGAACAGGCTTGCATTTCCACAGAAGCATGCTGTAGTTTAATCCTCTGTAGGAATCACCCTCCATCCTCCTCTGCTCCCCTGCTTCTTCTCTGCAGGAGATTACATGGCAGGAACTGCCACTGTAATTTTAAAGAGGAATCAGTCCCTCAAGAGCCCACAGAGAAACCAGCTGTACGTTTGGGCTACCTTAAACAGGATTATGCAGGGTTGAGCGTTTGCTGCTTAAATCCCAAATGCCACATGCAAAACTTCTGTGCTTTTTGATCCCAGTAAGCCCTGCAAAAACCTGACAACAGCCTGCCATCCTGCTTTACCAACAGACCACAGAGTCTCATCCCACCACGTCCTCCATCTGCCGCCAAGTAAAAAAATATGTATTAAAAAAAAATAATAACAATGTGGTTTTCACAAATTGCATTTCTTTGTTGAAGCGACACCCATCTCCCCTTTAGTAGAGGATTTGGGACTTGCTTTGGGGGTCATTCCTTCTTAAGAAAGATGGAGGCTCAGCTGTTTGAGGCGCATTGCTTTGCAGAAAGGAAGTCACCCAGGGGACCGACTTGTTTTTTCTTTCCTGAATGTCAGCGTGGGGTGAATACAACTGGAACGTGACACATTAAATCGGGTTGCTCCCACCCAGCTCTGACTAAGCAGGAGCTGGTGAGGCATCGCTGCATGGAAGTCCCCAGGGAGGATGAACTGCACGGTGAGGGCATCAGGCTCCAGAGCCCAACAGCTCCATTATGCTCAGCACATGGGATTTGTGTTGGACCTTCATCCTACACTCTCAGTAGGATGTAGGGAGGATCCTGCCCATCACTAGTGGCTTGGGTGGGTTTGGGATTGTTAAAGGCTCACCTGAGCATGCGGAGAAGCACACGTGAGGGTCAATTTAAACTTTCTCCTAATTAATCAATGCCATGAAATAGGCATACAAAATTAACCGGGGAGAAAACCAAAACAAAATGCACAAGCTTTCTGAGAGCAGAAAAATACCTAGGGGTTCCCGAGGGCATTATATCAAAAGTAAAAGATGATCTGAGAAAGATGATCTGCATGCAGTAACCACATTTTTCCCCAGTCCCTGAGGGCTGGGAGGAGTCACAAAAGAGGCCACTTCTGCACCAAGAAACCCCACACCTCTAAGGAAGAAATTGCATCAACTCTTCATCTTCCCAATGCTCCATAGCTGCTGCCACAGAGAACAATAAACAGAATGTGAAAATTACATTTGCTGTAGACACACAGCTTTAAAAAGGCTGAACATAGGTCCCAAACAAGAGCAGCTCACCCAGAGGTCAGGAACTACACCTGCAGACACAGAGGGCTGTGGGGCGCCCAGTCCACGCAGTTAGCACAGAGCACAGCATCCCTTCTGGAATAGGATGCATCACAGCACCATCAAGCACGGGACAAGTGATAATAAGCAAGGTAAGAGGATTAGAAGGGAAAAGATAATCTAAACCATTTAAAGAAAAAAAAAAAAAAAAAAAAAAAGGAAAACTGAACAATTTTGAAAGCAAAACGCCTCTCTGTGCAGAGAGCTGCCATGTCCCTCAAAAGGCATGGCTTGCTGCTTAGACAGGGCTCAACTTTTCAAGTTTTAGCTCAACCTTGAACAGAACGAGGCCATGTGCTGCAGTGCTATGGCTCTGCCAAAAAAGACAAGAAAAAAAAAAGAAAGAAAAAAGAGAGAGAGACAGCTGAGAGGAGGAAGAGGAATACCAGGAAAATATGGGAGATGAGATACAGGAAGTCCAGAGTCCATCTCCAGCCACACTCCAAGATGGGATCCATGAGACTCAGCTGTCCATAGAACTGTGCAGAACATACATACCTGTATAATGTACACATACGCACCACGAGTGGGTCACTCATTTGTGTCAGTGTGGGAAGAGCTGTTATGCATAGAAATGAATCACAACACAGCAACATGAAACAGGGAGCACTGTTTTCACGGAGGGCACAGAGCTGTTAAAGAGGCAATAGCTGGGCTGAGTCTGGAGGGATGGAAGCTCCACTGAATTTCTCTGATTTGCGCTGTGTGAAGTGGTGCAAAAGGGAAAGAACGACAGAAGGAGAAGGGAAATAGATCGATGGATGCAGCACGAGAAATACTGCCACTTGCGTGGGGATCTCCAAGCAGCTCTTCCACACAAACTTCGTGACCTTGAGGCAGTCCCTTCACCCTCATGTCTGTGCAGAAGCAGCCAGCAGGCTTTGTGCTGTCCTTGTTGGATTATAGACTTTTTTAGCTACAAAAACCCAGAAAAGCCCCCACCTGCCCCATTCTGATACTCACAAAGCTGGCATTGGTAGGGTCTGGCCGACGGGCAGCAAAGGGAGTAGCTGGCGCTGGGCTTTTCCCCAGTGACTTTGTGAGATGTTCACTGTACCCTCCAGCTCTCTAAATAACATATTACTGACCTGTCAAAGCCAACCTTATTGTATGCATGGTTCAGAAGACTGGCATTCACAAAACATCCCAACGCACTGTAAAAAATTAATCACATTACTAATGCTTCACAGACCTCAGTGCAGCTCCTACCTCAGCCCTGAGCACTGCCTCCATTTCCCAGCAGTGTGGGTCAGGGGTGGTTTTGCAGTGTTTCCTATTCAGGCGCAGCTCCTGGCACAACCAGGTGACACACAGCGAGCACAGCCACGGGCCCAAAGCAAGATGCAGCTGTGAGCTCTAGAGGAATGCACTGGAAATGGGGACTTCAGGAGAAGGTGAATCCCAGAAGGAGGTAGCTTGGGATACCCTGCTTGTGCCCTGTGATGATTACTGCCTGCCCAAGCCAATGCCACTGCAGAGAGCGATGTAGATCAGAAGTCAAGACAGCAGCTGAAGAAGCAAAAGAAGCTTACAAAGCCCTCCCAGGTAGGGTTACCCCTTGCTGGTCATTTGGCTTTTAGCCCCTTTCAGTGCTGCCATTGCCAGTTCAAGCTGGGTTTTCACGTGTGTACAGCATGCACTGTGTGCTCTTAAATACAACCTCATCCTCACTGTAAAGCCAGACGAGCTCCTCCATGAGACTTCGCAGCACCAAGCACATAGAATTCCTGGGCATGGAGAATGCTCAGGACCTCACTGCCATCACATCCATCACTGAGCTCCAAGGATGCTCCCAGGGATACCCAGCTCTCTACAAGCCCCCAGCCCTCTGCAGTGCAGGGTGAAGCTTTCCCTTCTTCCCAAACAGCATCTTATCACCCGGACACAACACACCTCCCTGGGAGGCCTCAAGGCACAAAATGGCTGAGGACCATAAAGCACATCCCAACATCTAAGAATGTCATTAGCAGCAAAAGGAATAAGGAAAAATAACAGAAGGCCCCAAAAATCTTCTCGATTGAGTTGACGCAGGCCCTGGCCAAGATGAAGAGCACGCAAACAAAAAAATCCATTGGCTCTAAGGGCGCAGGAACCCAAACAGGGCTGTGCTGGAGCCCAGGACCGCAGAACAGCCCAGTGGGACTGTGGAAAGTCCCAGAGGGAAGGGAGTTGCAGTAACACAGCGACTTATCCTGACCCTCCCTTTGCAATCCTCCTAACAACGAGCAGCCAGCTGCCCTCCTCCTGCAGCACAACCTGCAGTCAGGGGCTTTTTTTCCCCACCCAACGTAGCCATTCCTGCCTAAAATCCAGGCTGCCGAGGGGAAACGCGCACCCCGGGACCGCTCCTTTGTTCCCTCTCCATCCCCCCCAGAAAGCCCCAAACGCAGCTCAGCATTTCTTTGCAGATATTCCCACCCCACTGCCTCCCACGGGGGGCACAGAAGAACCTCCGGACCCCGGTGCGGAGCCGCAACCCCCCGGCCCCACATCCTCCGCAGCACCCCGCAAAAGATGGGGCCGGAGCAGACGGGGGGGTGGGGAAGGGAAAAAAGCCAGTTCCCGAGCAGCGCTTTGTGTTCCTCAGCTCGCAGCATTGCTATGGTGATTTCAAGCAAGACGGAGGAGCGCTCCCTCCCCACCTCCCCTGCATGCACCCACCGCAGCCCCTTCCCCCACAAACGGGGAAGTAAACGGGGGTGCATAGGGCCGGTGCATTGCACCTCCCCACAGGAACCACCCCCAGCTCTGCAGGGACAGCTTCATTTTTCCCCCCCACCTTACACACACCGCACATCCCTCCCCCAGGTGCACCGTGCCCGGACACTGTAGGGCTGCGGCAGCTCCGGGAGGGGCTCACAGTACTCTTAGGTTCCCCAGCGAGCATATCCAACCCCCCCCTCCCCCATCCCTTCCTTCCCTGCAGCCGTTCTGCAGCTGGAGCATCCCCCACCCACCCCACACTCCGCGATTGGCGATGGGTGGCAAAGAGAAATTTGGGGCTAGGGGTAAAAAGGGAGGGGGCTGCGCTGTACCCCCCCCCACACACACCACCACCTTTTTATTACTCACACGTATGCGTGGTAAATGAAAGCCCAGCCCCGCGGTCTTTCCAGCACATTGTAGAGAAAATTCTGCAGCTTGCGGTAAAAAGCATTCCTTTTGGGGGGCTTCCCGCTGCCCGACACCCCCGAACGGGGTTTGCTGAGGATGCTACCCCGTTTGGTGCTCTCGGAACCGGCGATGAGCAGAGCCCCGTCCCGGCTGGAGTCCGGAGCTCCCGGGTCCAGCCCTACGAAGCCCACCTTCAGCTTCTTCTCGGCGGCGGGCCCCGGGTAAACGCCTCCGTTGCGGGATTTCTGCACCATGGTGGTGGCCGGGGGCGGCGGGGCCGCGGGAGGGGGGTGGCAGGGGAGGGGGGGCTCCACCCGCGCTCCCCTCCGCTGCTCCGCGCCCGGCGCTGGAGACGCCGCAGGAACGGAACGGAACGGAACCGGCCGCAATGGGCTCCGCCGGGCCGCGCCCCGCCCGCTCCGCCCGCCCCGTTAACCCTCAGCTGTGCGGGGAGCGGCTGCCGAAGTCCCGCAGAGAGCATCCTCCAGAATAGGGGGCTGGGAGCTCCCCGCTCTCATAGAAAGGAAAAGGAAAAAAAAATAATAATAAAGAAGAAAAAGAAAAAAAAAAAAAAAGAGAAAAAAAAACACACTACAAACATACACACACGCTAATGGAAACAAGTGCAAAGAAAGCAAGTTCTGGTGTCCCCCCACAAAGCAGGCTTCAGCATCCTCTCAAAAATTCAGGAACTGGCATTCTGCCCCCAGAATAAAGCTCCAGCATCCTCTAAAACCAAGCTCTGGCATCTTCCCCTGGCCTAAAGTCACCCTCAGTGTCTCCCTGCTTTGGCTTCTCCCCAAAAATCACTGCAGGTTTTCTCCCACTGGGAAGGTCCCACAGTGCGAGCTGTTCTGCTGGGGCTGCCCTGTGGTGGGGTGCCCATCCCAACAGCTCTGTCACAGTCTGGGTGGCAGCAGGCACAGGCAGTGCCACCTAGGTCGCAGGAGGGAACCAGCTCCATACCCACTCAGTTTCTGTAACCTCACGACAAATCCACTTATGCAAAGCCATTCCCTTTGCCCACGCTTCCCTGAGGTCAAACCAATCTTCTTCGGGCTCACAAACACTGTACACCTTACTTCCTGTGCTGAATCTTCAGCATGATGTGGCTACGAAGCTCCCACTGTAGGAAGCCCTTTACTAAGCACGCTGACCCAAACCACCTCTTTATCACAGCCTGTAATTATGACCCAGTGTTACCATTTTCCCCCACACAGCACGGCAGGCTTCTGCCCCATAGAATATTTCCTCCTGATGGACAATCACAGGACTCAGAAGAACACGCAAAAGCCTAACATAAGAAAGATGAAACTTCCTTCACCATTATCCTCCATGGAAAACAGCTCTGTTTTTCATAAGTAGGCAGTGCTTTAGGACAAGGCTTGTTGTGTGAAAATAGAACTGTGAGCTCTGCTGAGCTGCTGCTTTCAGCACAGAGCACCTTGCCACAGTGTGGGTACTTTGGAAGCAGCAAAAGGTTTACCCAAAGCTCCATGGTGTGCAGGAATCCAGCAGAGCTGCATTCCAGTTCCTTCTCCTGTGAGGGGCAGTAGCTGGAAAACCAACCCCACCACTCTATGGCTTTCATATTTAAAAGAGAAAATCAGCATAGCCTTCTGGATTGCATTTCACAAGTTCTGGTATTTTGTCCTCCTTTTATGCTTCAGGAGAATCCCAGCAGCAACAAATGCACCAGAGACTGACATCACTGCTGCTTGCTCTGCACATCCTATCACATATGTGCTCCAGTGTGGAGCAGCCCTACATCCCAATGAACAGTGAGTTTTCTGTGACCCATATTATCTCCAACACATGACCGAAAGAGGAGATGTCTCTGCAAGGCAGGCAGAGAGCTAAAGCTGGGTTAAATAATGGAAAAACAGATCTGCAAGTATGTCAGTGAATAAATTACTCAGTTCAGCGAGGGGCCATTCTATTCATTATTTGTGAACACTTGTAAGATCATTAGTGTTCTTTAATAGGGTAGCCAATTACAAATGTGCCTGGCACTAATGTACAAAGTGCATTATTATAGATCCAGCGACGCAGTCCAAAAGCAGGAAATATCCCCCTCCACCAAAAGGCCAACAACAAACAGAGGAAGCAATTTTCAATTAACAAATTCCAGATTACTAATAGTCTGTGAGCCCTAAAGAAGAATCTAAATTCGTCGCACTCCTCTTTGCCTAATTAGCTGGTCATTTGTGGTGTCACACTGCAGCGCAGCTTTGGGCGCCACGCATCTCTGATATCATCAGAAAACAGCAGTGAGCTCAGGGATGGGGTGGGATTTCACCATTCCCAAGCACTGGGTGTGAGTGAGATGCTGGGGAAGGTGTGGGGTGGTTCTGGTGGCTGTCAGGGATTGTGGCTTCATTTGGGAGGGAGATGAAACCTCAAAGGAAAACCAGCAGAGCCCCATAAGAAAGGACAGAGAGTCTGCAACAGGTCATCTCAGAATGGCTTAGGTTGGAGGGGATCTCATTCCAACTCCTCTGCCATGCACAGGCTTGCCACTCACTCAACCAGGCTGCTGATGAAATGTCAAATATCACAGAATCACAGAATGGCCCAGGTTGGAAGGGATCTCAAGGATCATGAATCTCCAACCCCCTGCCACATGCAGGGCCACCAAGCTCCACATTTAATACTCGACCCAAGATGAAGGCAGTTGTTTTGGAACAGGAGGACAGCCAGCCACTAACACTACGTGAAATAATGAAGTATGTAAAAGCAGTACTGGGAAGGTGCCGTTATCTGATCCAAGGACATTATGTCTCCACAAACAGAATTACTGAGTCACTTTTTTGCTTTCAACACTACTGATGGCTTTAAACACAAACACCGTGGCAGAGAGCTCAGACCCTGAAGGTAAGAGGAAATCTATTGAGCTCTGTGATGATACAGAAAGTTCATGTTCTGTCCCTTGGCAGTTGGAGTAATAAGAGAAAAAGAAGGCTGGTGTGAAATATGTGGAATGGCTCCAGGGATATGCTTCCATTTGAAACACTGAACTGGAGCCCTTTCTCCACACCCACCCAACAACGGGAGGTTTGTGTGCCCTGTGCTGCCCATAGCCTGGGTTTTGGCACCCTCAGTTTGCTCCCCGAGCTATTTTCAAATTCTAAAGCAGATGGCTCTATCTCTTCTTGTTCGGGGCTTGGCTAACTGATGCTGCACCATCCAAGCAAAGCTAATCCAAGAGCAGAGTGGTGACTGATCTTTCAGCACTTTGCAGCCACTCATCTCCCTCTTCTGCTGAACCCCTTTCCTCTACCAACCCCATCCTCTTCTCCAGGCAGCAACCAGCTTCCTAGAGTCCACATTTATTGATTAGATATGTCTCTTTCTGGTCGGCCAAAAGGGGCTCTTTCTAACACCATTTTGACAAACGTTTCTGAGATTTGAACTACAAGACATGACCTGAAAGTAAGGCTGCTTCATGCAGATGCACCTGGCACTACAGCTTGAGCCCATAGGGGAAGATACTGCAAGAAAAATTCCTGTGCAAAAGTGGAAAATTCAACAGATTTCCAAAGCAGGAAAAAAAAAAAGTGAATGTGACAAGGGGGAATGTGTACTTCTGGCTCAAATACAAGCCAACATTCAGCACAGGTTTCATCATTTGGGATGGGAAGATTTGGGCACAAATGCATGATGGAGAAGGAAGCACTAGACAAGGTAATTGGAGGGAGCCTGCTTTTTGCTGTTCTTAATTGAACCATAATGATATGGGCCTTTAATGAGAGACAAAATGGCTGAATAAGCTTAAATTAGGTTGAAGATTCATGCCCTGTTGATTGGATTGAGGAAGGGACTAATTCACTTAATAAATGTGGGGCTGCTACAGACGCAGGGTGAGCAGCAGGTGGGGTGGTTTTATGTTACCAACCTGGAAATCCCATTCACAGCTTGGCCTGAGCCAACAGGGTCTGCAAAACCTCCTGCTGCCATGGGAGAAGATGGAGACATCAGCTTTTGGGTCACCAAGTGGTGGAGACAACCCAAGCGCTGAGGGACCACCCTGAGAGCCAAGGGGCTTCAATGTGGGCATGGGGCAGGGAGCAAAAGTCTTTCTGGGTGCTTGCATCCAACCACAACACCACCACAGATATTCTTTAACAACCTAAAATGAAGAGACACCAGATGACTGTCCAGTTTCAATCAAATTTGACAGTCATCAGCCTGGAGGTTAATTGAGTTTGCGCCAATTTTCATGAAAGCGAGAAGCCTAGAAAGAGAGAGATTATCTCTGATGCTGCCTCCATTCTCATTCAAAGGGGATCCTGGAGTGTGATCTCATCTCTGCAGGACACCAGGGAAGGTACCCATGTGGACATTGCTCCCCCAGCCACTAAAATGCTCCAGCCCAAATTCGTAGGCAGTGCATTGATAAAAAGCCAGGCTGCCTTCCATCGGGTGCTGACAGAGCTTCTTATTTTATATTACATATTTAGCAGATGCAAAAATTCTGTGCCATCATCCATCTCTCTGTCCTGTTCTTAGACAGCACCTATCTCCTCAGGGCACCTACAGCAGAACCCAGGGAAAGTCGTGTTGAATGAGATGGGCCTGAGCTGCAGCAAGAGGCGCTCGCATGGAGAGAAGCCTCTGAGTCGCAATGAAGAGTGTGTGCATCCTTTGCACAGACAGAATTTCTTTGTTTCTCCTTTCTAAGAAAGATTAAAAGTGGTGAAGTTTCAGTGTTAGTTTAAGCTGTGCAGGTCTGACTGGAAAGAAAAGCAGATCCCAGAGAAACAGCAAGCGGACCAGGTATGTGAAAGGAGAAGCAATGGTGAAAAACAAAGTTGGGTGAATTCTATTGAATTGAATGGGGTTACCTTCAGGGCATGCACGAAGCTGAAAGGAAGCTGGTTGGTCACACAGGGATCTGATCACCTCCTTTCCCCCAGCATCTCATGGCCCTACTTACCCCCAGCCCTCTCCCCTGGCAAATCCCCCCAGCCCAGTCTCCCTCCCCTCTTCTCTATGCATCTCCTTCATCAGCCTCCAGCTCTGGCTCTTGCCCTACCCTCCTTTGAGACGACACTCAATTCCCTTTCTTCATTTATATTGTTACCTTGAAGGTATTTATAGCCTGTGACCACGTTGCCCCTGTGTCTTCTTTTTCCCAGAGTCTGTAAATTTAGCTCTCTGTCATTCTTCACATCTACCTTGTTCACATCATCCGTCCAAACCGCCTTGGCTTTCTTCCTCCTACTGCATCCATGAGGCCACACAAACCAAAATGCTGCCACCTCTGTGCTGCAGCACTTATTCCTTGGGAT